ATCTACCATCTACTGACCAGGGGGGGGGGGGGGGATCGCGCCCATTCACAAGATGTCCACTTTCGTCGCAGAGGTTCTAGGGCTGTGCTACCATGGTACAATCCAAGTCTCACATAGTTGCTGGACACCCCTAATGTGAGAGTTACGTCGTCAGGCAGGCTTTGCCCTCAAACCTTTCAATGGCTTAATTTAGGCGCCACCATCTATCGGCGGTTACCCGTGAATGCGTCATAGAATCGCTAGATCTCTCTATCACTAATGATGTCTTTGCGTTTGGTGGCGCGCTCACGCCGCCGCCGTCGCGCGATGCGAGACCCTCGCGGCGCCTTGAAAGGAACCATGCGCAGAAACAACATAGGAACCGGCTGGAACATATTTGACGTCAAAGCCGTCTCTAGAGTCGCGAGCTTCGGTTATTGGGAGCTCATGAGCAGCATTAGGAGGAGCAGTCGTGAGTCCCCGTGGGAACAGGGCGCGGGGGCGTCGTGGTCCATGCCGTCGCCTCCTGGGTGCGCGCGCCTGCTGCTCTTATTGACGCACAGACCTCCCCGCCAAGGACCCGCGGCCGGGCGGGCGGGCGTGCTGGATGTGTTTGGTCAGAAAGGCGTCATTTTTGTGGGGCCCGGGCCCTCCGTATCGTCCCAACCTGGAGACGAGTACGGCGGGTACGGTACGGTATACGACGCGGTGTTATGACCTCTCTAATCAGTATTACACCTCACTGAAAAATATCGGTAGTCACCAGATGATTCCCCTCATAGCAGTCACCACGTTTTTGTTTTCACAAGTAAGTACCCCTTCACAAAAAAATTTACAGTGTGCACTAGAGGGGGGGGGGGGTGCAAGTTCGGTACAGACATACCTCGAATCCTGCTGCTGCGGCTGCAACACCGTCCAAGCGGCTTTTCAAACGCGCACCCCAGCCGGAGAGCAGACGGCCCCCCTAATGCCTGCCGCCATTATATCCATACTGGGCGCGACTTTCATTGTCGGGTCAGCTGGAGCGCAGTAATGTGTCTTGTGTCTTGTGGAGGGGCGCGGCCGCGGCGGCGGCGTCAGCGTTTAAACCGGCCAGCGAAGAGCGCGCCTCGCACTCGCACACGGACGTCGCGGAACGCATTGAACCGCTTTCCGAAAAGGTACACTACTGTGAGAACGACGCGTCGTTTTGCGGGCGTTTTTAATGAGTATTTTTAATTATTAATTAATTATTTTACGGGGATTGGGGGCGATTGGTTACTTTGTTGCATCTGATGACTTATGCGCTCGAATGCAAAACGCGAAGCTTGACCAAAACAAGGAAGTCTGCCCTCCGCTTCCGGCACCCGGCCTGAATAATTAGGCATTTGATTTTGAGGTTCAACAGTGTCAGTGTCTCATGGCCAAATTTGCCCGCGCAGTTCTGCTTAACGTGCAACACCGGAATTTACGTCGACGCGCACCCCTATCTACGTTTTGACTTGATGTCGTACAATCTTTGTAGTTCGCTTATTCGACGCGTTGGAGTCACAGGTGCTGTCAAGTCGACCTTATTCTCATGGCATGTCCCAGTTACCCGCAAGAGCATTTTCCATTTTCTCACGGATCGCAAAGGCAATATTACCCTTCATTCTTTGTTTTGACAGTGACAGCAGTGAAATTATCGTCTGAGAATAAAGCATGTAAAATCCTTTGCACGTCAAGCAGATTCCGCACCCGTTTTCACTTTATTTCAAAGAAAAAAAGGCAACCCGAAACTGCCGTTCGAGTCGTTCTCACAAATACGCTCGTTGTCTGTCACACATTGATTCCACAAATCGAATATAGATACGCACGTACGCACGCACGCGAGGTACCTTTGGCATACGGTGCTGCAATGGTTACCGCCTTACCTCAAGTCTCGCGGTTTCCCCTCTCCATCCTCCTCCCCCCTCTCCCCTCCCTCCCCTCCCCTCCGTCTCCTCCCTCCCTCTCTACCTTACGTCTTTATGACCAACGAGAGAGACCCGTGCACATTGTTTCGACACATACTAATACTCCAAGTGGTATCTGGGTGATTGTAAGTGTGTGTGCATGTATGGGAGAGGTAGGGGGGGGGGATATGTAGGGTGACATATGCAGCTGTGAGATGAGGTGAGGTCTGCCGGCCTGCCTTCCTTGGATCGAGTTGTTTTCAGATCTTTCCAGCGGATTGGAGTGTTCCGCTCACACAGCCTGATGGGCTAATGGGTGACCAGCCCCCCCCCC